ATGAGTAGTCCACTTGCAAACAGCGTTATGTGATTTTATAAAAGTAAACCATAAAATAAAAAAAAACGTCTACGACAACAAGTAACATCCGAACTGTATCTTTTTTTATTACCTGCAAATTTGGATAAATAAGAGCCTAATACCATTAAAAAAATAAGATTGCAGTATGGTAGATTTGCAAACTTTATATTTAAAAATTTAATATTGCAAGTTTTGAAACAGTAACTTTTACATAGCTAGCTTTTTTAGCTTTTCGCGTTCTCTCCTCTAGGAAGATTGGTTTGCTTCCACCATTTTGCCTCTGCCTAGAAAAGGTGAAAAAGCGTTTCATATATGACAGACTTTGCATTAAAGGGTTAAGTGCTGCACTTTCGTAAAGATATCGAGCAGTATAACCATTTTTGTTATAAAATTTTTTTTGTGAAAGCTGATAGTTTACGAGTTATTAGAGTTTAAAGTAGCTTTTCTTTTTCCAATCTGGCCACTCGGGTACAGCATCCAATGTCCCAAGAATCGAGTCTTAAGACAAAATAAAGAGAAATCTTTCAGAAACAGTGCTAATGGTGTATTAAATATAGTGTTTTCTAGTGGAATGGGAGCCAAAATCCAAAATTAAAAAAAGTGACATTTTGAACGGTATTTTGAGGGTTAAGTTATTGTTGTTGTAACTTCTCTATAGTTTTCCTATATTATGTGATCATTTATCTTCATGATAAAAAAATGTTCATTCCATTATCTCTTTTCTAAGCGATCTACGATTTTGAAAAAAAACTCGTGTTTTGCCTATAGTGCGACGCCTCTAGCCATTGTGTATCACAACTTTAAGTTATCGATACAAATCTTTTTTAAGTCCCCCCCATTCGCTAAACCCTGGCTACGCCACTGAAACGATGCATCGATATTTTTGAAACACCGATAATATCGATTCAAAATTCGATGTTTTCCAACGATGTTTACAATTTCCTAAAATCGCTAAATTGACGATACATTGATGACAGTTTCAGCGATGTTTTAACATCGACTTTAGTGTGACTCAGATTTGAATTCAACTTACCCATTATGCTCCTAAAATTTTTTGACTGCCCATGAGTTATATGACTTATTCTTTTGGCGAACATTCAGAAATTCCGAGTTTGCTCATATTAAAAATGCTTACTTTATCATTAAAAAGGACCGGGTTCCCATTGAAATTTCAACGAAATCGGGCCTTGGAACTTTAAAGCGCAAACAGTCAACGACGTAACGTAAATGTACATTGACGTACGTATCAGCATATCAAATTTTCTGTTTATAGCGAGAGGGAGAAGCAACGGCAACATCAGCGCCATGCGGTGATGAATTTTCGTTAACACGCGAATCCGATAAGGAAGATCGTGTCTGAGTCAACCTACGTCTACGCTACGTCGTTG